AACAACATGAAACAAAAATCACCAACTAAGGCTATCGAGATGGCACCAGAGCTAAAATGAATCTATTGCATAATTTGTAGGCATAGTACTTCAGTCAAGAAGTCAAATTCAAGGTGAACGAAATCGTTAATGTAGCCCATTTTATTAAACAAACAAACAAACAAACAAAACACCACAGTCTTTAAAATATCACGAAACCCTGACAACAATTCACAACGAGAGGGTGAGTGGTTACAAACCCTGTTGTGCCAACCCTGACGTTTCCTGATCAGGAACCTCAAAATAATGCTTCAAAATTAATGAAGACCTAAATAAATGGGAGGTATACCATGTCCAGAGATCAGAAAATTCAATATTTTTAAGCTTTCAATTCTATCCAAATTTCTATATAGGTACAACGCAATACCACTCAAAGTCCCAGCAGGATTATTTGGGCTTTTTTTTTTCTTTTTTTTTGAAATTGACAAGCTGATCCTTTTTTTTTTTTAACTTTAGAGAAAAAGACAGAGTGCATGTGAGATGGGGAGAGGGTCAGAGTGAGAGAGAATCTTATGAGCATGATGTGGGGCTCCATCCCATGACCCTGGGATCATGACCTGAGCCAAAATCAAGAGTCAGAGGCTTAGCCGACTGAGCCACTCAGGTGTCTCAAGCTGATTCTCAAATCAATATGAAATGGAAAGGATGCTAGTTAATCAAAACCATTTTGAAAAAGAACAACATTAAAGAACTTGCACTTCCTGCCTTGAAGACTCACTACAAAACTACAGAAATCAACACAGTATGATATTGGCATAAGGATAGACATAGTGATCAATGGAACAGACTAGAGAGTTCAAAAGTAACCCACACTTATGTAACCATTTGAAAAAAATGCCAAGGTAATTCAATAGAAAATGGATAGTCTTCTACACAAATTGGATAGTCATATGAAAAATAATGAACGTTAATCTTTAGCTCATGAATACGCAAAAATTAACTGATGGGACCAGAGATCTAAGTGTAAGAAACAAACCATAAACCACATAAAAAAGTACAGGAAAAAAAAATCTTTGTGGATTTGTAGTAGGCAAATCTTTTTAGATAGAACACAAAAAGCAGAAACCATAAAATTAAAATTTGATAAATTGGATTTCATCAAAATTTAAAAACTTTGTTTCTCAAAAGCCACCAGTAAGAGAATAAAAGAAAACGAATTGGCTGGTATCTGATAAAGGTATTCCATCCATAATGTAGAAAGAACACTTAACTATACTCAATTTAAAAAGAAAAAAGAACACGTACAACTCATTATTAAAAAGACATACTAGGGGGTGCCTGGGTGGCTCAGTCGGTTAAGCTTCCGACTTCAGCTCAGGTTGTGATCTCGCCGTCTGTGAGTTCGAGCCCTGCATCCGGCTCTGGGCTGACAGCTAGGAGCTCGGAGCCTGGAGCCTGCTTTGGATTCTGTGTGTCCCTCCCTCTCTGCCCCTCCCCTGCTCACGCTCTGTCTCTCTCTCTCTTTCTCAAAAATAAATGTTAATTTTTTTGTTAAAAGCATTTATGCTACATGAAAGAAGCCAGGTATGAAACTGATGCCATTTATATGGCATAGAGGGGAAAGCAAAGGGACAATATGCAGAATGGTGTCTGACAGTGTGGTAGGGAAGTAACTGACTGCCAAGGGGCAGGGAGGACTCTGTGGGGTAACAGAGCATTCTATAGCATGGTTGTTGTAGAGGGTCACATGAATCCATCCATTTCAAAGTTCACCAAATTCTATACTTAAACTTGGTGATCTTTATTTTATGTAAATTTCATCTCAATAAAACTTTTCAATAGCTCTTTAGGATCTGAATGTTTATTATTTTATTATTACAACGCCTGCTAACGTTTTTTTTTTTTAAACTTGAAAATGATGGTGTACTTATTTTCTATTGCTATGTTATAAATTACCACAAACTTAGTAGCTTAAAACAAGAACACAAAGTTCTGGCAGGCTCCACTGGTTCTCTGTTCCGGGTCTCGCAGGTCAGAATGAAAGTTGTCAGCCATCTGGAGGCTCTGGGGGGGAAACCTACTTCCAGGCTCAGTCGGGCTGTTGGCAGTATTAATTTCCTCATGGTGTAGGGCTTTGGGTTCTCATTTCCCTGACATGTATCCCGCTCCTTCTTCAAGCCAACAATGGCTCGTGCCGTCCTTCCTGTGCTTTGACTCTCTCTGCCTTCCCCTTCCATGTCCTCTTCTGCTTCTCAGGGCTCCTGTGATTACATCGGGCCTACCTGGTAATCCAGGAGAAGCTCTGTGTTTTAAAGTCAGCAGATTAGTAACGTTAATGACATCCGCAATGCCCCTCTTGACATCTGAGGTAGCGTATTTCCAGTCCTGGGATTGAGATGTGAATCCTGGGGACTGTAACCCTGTCCCCACAGAGAGCCCACTACCACGGACAATGATAGCAGCTAACTAAGGGGCACTGAGTGCAGCCTACTGTGTGCCTGACAGCAAGCTAGTTGCTCCAAAGTCATCATCGCAGTTTGCCTTCCTGGCTGCCCTACGAGGTGGGCGCCATTTGTGTGCTCGTTGTCCAGTGCGGCAAAGGAGCATGGAAAGCTCTGGAAGGTGCCAGAATCCCACACTAGTTAATAACAGGGCAGACATCGGACTCAAATCTATCTGGATCCCAGAGTGCTAGACTGATGGTGGCTATATTTTGGTCACTGTTCTTCCTGTCGGGTGATTTTATTTTAATAAAAAGTAACCATGGCCTCTCAGCAGCATCCAGAACTGCTTGCATTTTTCCTTCGCAAGACGTTGCACAGCTTGTTGTTACCTATGTTTTCAATTATTTCAGCAGCAGCTGTCTTCTCACTCAGTGGCGCGCGCCTTCATCTTGAATCTCCATGTCCCAGCTAATGCTCGGTTCATGGTGAGGGCTTCATACGTGGCTGTTGACTGACCAACGGAATGAACGAATGAGCGAGTGCACAGCATGAAGGTATACACCCCTCTTCAGTCATCTTCTCCAAATGCAGACCATTACTCTCTGCCTTTAAGACGATGGGACAGAGCAACAAGGGTAGATGCATTGTGCCCCAGGCTTGCTCCCTGCCAGATTAACTGTGACCTCCTACCAGAGCATCTCTGGAAAGGATGGCTAGGACCCGCTGACTCTCTGTGCTACTCACTTCTGTAGACAGCCCCTGCTTTCCTAACAATACAGGTCGTATCTCATCATCACGTTTGGATGAGTGAACAAATTGAGCCCTCCCTAACGCGAGATTTTAGGGAGCGTTGCCTGAACTAGCAGGTCCCAGGGAATGAGTTTCTTTGCGGAAGCACACAGCTCAGGGTACATTCTTCCCAGACTAGCACATATACCATTTTACCAAGTGACTTTACACCACGGATGGTCAGAGCCTAGCAGGCAGGAACTGGGCATAATTCATGAGTACCTGATGTGACGCACTTGGTATATAGCGGGCACCCAAAATATTGATTAAATGAATGAATAAATACACAAGTATGCCACGTGGAAACTGACCCAAATGAACTTCCTGGAATTTGTATCATTAAAAAAAAAAAAAAAAAAAAAAAAAAAAAAAAAAAAAAAAAAAAAAAAAAGTCTTCCTCTCTAAAGCAGAATGAAACAACATCCACAAATATAAAGATAATAATGGTGGCCACATCCTTTCTACAATTTTGAGTGTGAAATTGCCTTTCTTGATTTGCTTTTGTTTCTACTACTACAAAGACAATGCCCTTTTGATGTTCCTAAACGTAACCCCATTAAAGATTAGATCAGAGCAGGAAGGGTTTTCTTTAAACATAGTCGCAATTCTCAAGTGCTAAACAAAGTGTGTTAGGAGTGGCTGGATTGCCCAGTAAACTATTAATTTCAATGAAAAGCCAGAAAATACCTCACTACAGTCTTCTCTGTCATCCCCAAGCAGTGAGAATAGAGCAGGGCTCCTCCAGGTACAACCTGCCCCAGGTCAGCCGTTGGGTATATTCCCCACCAATATGGGAGACAGGTTAAAAGAAAACTATTCCAAATTCCTTCCTGTAGCATACTACAAATCTAGAATGGGGATTGCAGGGAATTTGAATGACGAAAAGATGAGGTAGCCACTTTGATGTTGCAGAGGAAATCTTGCTTTTGCTTGGATGATTGGAAATCTTGAACAAACATACAAAGATACCATGACACGTTAGATTGATATGGGGTCAGTGTTTTATAGATCAAAGTGTGCAACTGCTGACATTTTCATAAGGTCCGGCGTAGTGAAGAATTTGTGGAAATAGGTGGAAATCAAATTTTATTTTTGTCTTTAAGAATCTCAAAGCCAGAAGAATCTTTAGATGAAAAGAAGTCCAACTTTATTATTTTAAAGACTATGTTTGTAGGATTAGGTATGACTGAAAGTAATTGCAAACCTCCAAATATAAATGGGATAAATGAAATAAAATCTTATTGTACATTCCTGTTCAGGAGTGCCTGCAGCATTAAGAGACACAGCCCCTTCTAGTTTGCCCTTCCACTCTGAGTGGCCCCAAGCTTCCAGTGAACCTCATGGTATAAGATGGCGGCTAAAGCTCCAGACATTAAATACATAGGGATTGGTCAGAGAAAGGCTTACATAGAAGGCAGAGGCCAGATGTTGGAGACCTGTGGAAACTGTACTATTTGGGTGTGGACATGGTCTTCTTATAGGACCTGAGAAGTCATGGAGCAGAAGGAAGACACAGTTGGATCAGTGCAAATCCTCCTGGCAGCCATGTGGATGGCTTTGAGAAGCTCGCGATGGAAGACAGCAGGCTAATGCAGGGGCTGGTTGGGACAGCCAATGGATGGGAGAGCCAATGGATGAGGCAGGAGGTGCACAGCGAGGAAGGGGGCACAGCCTGCACTTTCTGAAAAGGCCTATGAAGAGAAAGGAAAGAGCAATCCAGTAAGGAAGAGATGATGTGGGTCAACAGGACTGGCTTCCTTCCGGCTGTGAGCAAGTGGGCACGAGACCATGGGCAGCCTGTTCTGTGGGGTGTCTACAAAAGAAGCAGGCTTCCGAGGAGAAAAGGCTCTGTGTACCGATCGACGGGTTGTGTAAGATGAATGTTCACAGTCAAGAAGCAATTTGTTGAGGACGGGTCAGAGGGGTTAGAGATCTAGGCTAAGAAAGAGAGTGTGATGGGGGTAAGATTGTTTAGACATAGGCAATTCTGGGAGCTTCCTTCTCTCCCGGAGTGATCAAGAGCAACAGAGGTAGAGAATGTGGTCCCAAATATTTGGACTGGTTCCGGTCATTTTGTGGTCGGCACTGGCTCACAGGGCCAGGCAGTGCCGGGTGTGGTCTGGGAGAATAAGCGTGGCCCTTTTCTGCATGGGAGGTGTGTGACAGCTGCAGGGGGCCGTGATTTGTTCCAGGATGGTACCTGGCACTCTAGGATCCCCTGGGAAGGAGTATCTACTGTCCCTGTTGTGCTTTTGTAAATAGCACAGCCACCATGACCTAGCTCTGGGCACCCACGACCCAGCACTCAGTAAGGAGCATGGCAGGTCCCTTGGGATTTCTTGGTCGGCTCTACCGGGTGTAGAGAAACAGCTTCCTTATTCAACCTGATGACATTATTGCTGTTGCAATTACTTATCATGTGCCACATCTAATTTACAATGTCATAGAAGAAGATAAGAATCCTATCCTTAGTAAACCTTAGGCATTTGCATTACCCACAAGTCACTTGACTGTGTGTTTTTAAAAAATGCTAGCTAGAAATGTGTTAACACCAGTGAATACAAATGTATTTTGGGAAAAGTTTTCTTTACTACGTAGCCCTCTTTAAAGGCCCTGCTATCCCTTCAAAGGGGCTCTTCTTGATGGGGTGTTGCGGGGAAACTCAGGGTTCATCCCCCACTCAGGCAAATGCTCACACCCCCTCCCTTAATACAGACAACATAACATGGACTGTGTGGCCAAACTGCAGAGATATAGACAGAAAGATGATAGATCTAGAAATCCAGAGACAAAAATAGACATGAATATAGGAAGAGAGACAGATTACGTCATTTACAGTCTAGTGGGGAGGAGAGATCAGAGAAAGAAAGTAATCACTCACTGTAGCAAGTGCTAGAAAGAAAATGGTCCCGAGGCAGAGAATGGTCCTGGGGTAGAGAGGGATTCACTTTACACAGTGAAGTCAAAAGCTCTTTGAAGGGAGTTACCTTTGGAGATGGGTGAGGAATGTGCAGAAATCCTGGGGCAGAGAGCTGGGTGGTTGGAGGTATTGAAGGCAGCTGGTCACAGATCATAGCAGTAAAGACAAAGTGGCAGGAGACAGTAGTGGAGATTCAACCACCCAAACAGTTCGTTAAAGTCACCTCTGAATTTCTCATCATTCTCTCTACATAATGAAATGGGTAAAATTGAATTTAAATTATGTAGATAACTGACCTTTATATTTTTCTTACATTAAGGTAATTTCATAATAGATTTGTAATTTATTTGGAAATCAATTCTATGATGTCATTTCCTGAACAGCTTCCAAAAGCCTTCATCATAAAAGGTCCACGTAAAGTAAAAGGCTTTCATCAATTCAAGGTTCAGGTTATTTACCATGGCAAAGTTCCAATTAATTGTGAGTCAAAGGGAAGACTGTTTCGCACACAAAATTAAAGGAAACATTTACAGCATTGATAGTCACTGTAATGTACTTTTTTATTTACAAAAGCATCCATCTCAAAGTCGAATTTTGGAAAGTTCTGTGATCTGGTCACGTGCGGACAAATGTGTGCACAGATTAAATGCAGTTTTTTTTTTTTATTATTCTATTATCGATCGACTTGATATGAAGTAACTGTTCAGGTTTAATTGCCTTACTCTGAAAAAGGCCATGAGGGGGAAAGTGATCCTGTGTCTACTCAACACAAGCAACTAAAAACTACAAATAGGAATTTCAATTTGCTTTGACATGTGATTAACTGAGTCTCATCAGGCCTACAGCTTGTCCCTAAAGTCTAAAAAGATTACATTCAGGGGCGCCTGGGTGGCGCAGTCGGTTAAGCGTCCGACTTCAGCCAGGTCACGATCTCGCGGTCCGTGAGTTCGAGCCCCGCGTCGGGCTCTGTGCTGCCGGCTCAGAGCCTGGAGCCTGTTTCTGATTCTGTGTCTCCCTCTCTCTCTGCCCCTCCCCCGTTCATGCTCTGTCTCTCTCCGTCTCAAAAATAAATAAACGTTAAAAAAAAAAAAAAAACTTTAAAAAGATTACATTCAAAAACGTCACAAGAACGTAATGAACGCACCGAAGATTTCCAATATGCTGACAAAACACTCTCCTAACAAATACCCTGCCCACTGTCTTAGAGAAGTTTCACATAATAATGCCGTGGGAAATTTTTCACTAAAAGAACAGCATGGATGAAAAGAACTTGGGGAGGGGGACATACGGGAGAAGAGTGCCTCACAAAGGTTTCTTCGCAGGTTAAAAACTTTTTGCCTGGCAGAACAGATTGGGCTCTTTTAATCTCAACCTCCTGTGGTATTGTCCTTACACCAGACTTTCGGCCTTAAGGGAAGATGGTCCTAAGCCTGAAGCTTGTGAAGAAAGAAGTGATTAGCTCAACCGTAGATGCTCACCAACAAGCTCTCAGTGTATAATGTCTGCAGAAACACATCTGGACATGCCCATCAACGTTCTCCCCACTGATGGAGGCCCGCTCCCAAGATGTGCCAGCAGGGAGTCTGATCAGAACACCTCATAGGTAGGTAGTTTTTAATAGACCTACCAACACAACACAGGTGGGGCCACGGATTCCCTTCATCCCTACTGACCCTTGTCTTTTAAAATGAATACTGCAATGATCTCTGTAAATGAAATATTTGCTACAATGCTGTCATCTAACAAAAGCCACAAGTGTTTCACAGGTAAGTGTAATTAGAATATGTCCAGTCCTCTCCATTTGTTCTCTACAATCTGATCAGAAGTGTCACAGCTGGGGGCACCTGGGAGGCTCAGTCGGTCAAGCGACCACCTCTTGATTTCAGTTCAGGTCATGAGCTCACAGTTCATGGAATCAAGGCCTGCGTCAGGCTCTGTGCTGACAGAGCAGAACCTGCTTGGGATTCTCTCTCCCTCTCTCTGCCCTTCCCCTGTTCCAAAATAAATAAACTTAAAAAAAAAAAGTGTCACAGCTGCTAGACAAGAGGACATATAGGAATGCTATTTAACCAGAGAACTGTTGCAAACTCACAATTACTATCATTTCATATTGGTTAACTATTCTCAGAGAACTTGCTTTAAGATAACCCAGTCCTTGCCTTCACCAAGCACCCTTGACTCTGGTTTTAAACAGCCTCCCGGTTCTTCATTTGATAAACAAATGAAACAAGGAGAGGAAATCAAGAGACTTCAACCCTGGAACCATTTCATTCTGGATTGTTACTCACGGTTGGCAGAATTTTTCCGCTTTCAGCCCGACAATGACATTATGTATACTATGAAATAATTTGTTTTCAAAGGCATTTTCCCCTCTGCTGTAAAACCAGGAGACAGACTGGAGAATACTGTAGGTTTTGTGCTCCTGGCTGAGCTAACCCATTTTATTGCTGTCTTAATTCCAAGAGGGTGTCCCATCTGTGATTAAGAGCAGAAAATCCTCCCACATTAAAGGACACAGAACCTGTCTTTCAAATAAGTAAAGGACCGATTTTACTGGGATATTTTTCAGAAAAGCAAGGTTGGGTTTTACCCCACAGCCAAGTGGCAGTTGTCAACCTGTCTGTTTGGGAGGCTGCCTCTTTCACTAGCTGAAACGTTGCCCGAGGCTTTTTCCAGATTCCACAGACAGCCTCCACCCCCACCTCCAAGAATGAAGGAGGGTGGGAGAACTATTCCCAACTACTTTTGCTCCCAGCAACATTACCAAAATTGTGAAGCTACCTTGTTCCAGGCTCCCTCCGGGCATCACAGCAAAAAGACTGACAACCAAAAAGAGTGGCTCAGCTTTAAGGGCAGGCTCCTCACCGTCCTACACCCCGAAAACGCTCGTCGGGCTAACACACCCGCTAATTCCTGAGGCTCCTCCCAGCTCCCCCAGATCTCCCCGAAGATCTGAAGCCTCGCTTGGTGCCACGCGCCCCATCCCGAACACCCCTTCTGGCCGCGTGCACAGCATACTTTCAGACCTTGGGGACTCGCAGTGCAGTCCCTCCAAGGGGCTGTGGGCCCAAAGGACAGCGACAGGGCTAAAACTCCGACGCCGGCAAACAGCAGACCCTCCAACTGCCCCGGCCCGGGGCCCGGGAGGGGCCAACGCGCCCAGCCCCGGGGCCAACAGGCGGCGTCCGGCCGTTGCCATGGCCACGGTGCGCGTTGGGACCGCGCACGCACCCCGCGCGCGCCGGGAGCCAATCGGCAGCCGGCCCGGGCGTTGCCATGGCCACG